AATACAAGAGGTAAAATGAACGAGAGAATCAGACGGAAACTGATGGGATTCGGGCGATTTTGAATCATGCAAATGCATTAAATCACGCGTTTAATGTAAGGTAGGGAGTCCTAAGATACCAAACATCCTTGTTTTGCTGAATAACATATTTACCAGAGCTCTTTTTTCTTTACACTACTAGTGCACATTGTATCACAATTAAAGTTAAATCACACCAATAGTGTCAAAATAGACTGAAAAAACTGGTAATAACCGAAATGCGTTTTAAAATGTTTGGTTGGTACCTATCTACCTACGCAGTGCATATCCGGAGATACCGCGTTGTGGACGTGTGGCATTTTTGTTCAGTTAGATTTTAATTACGGTGAATCCATAAGGGGACATTCTTATTTTTTGGTAAGTATTATACTTCCTTTTTCTTTAAGCCTTAATACTCAATAAATACCAATGTGTTAAAAGGATGTCCATACCCGACCTATATATATATTATATATCAATAATTTACGGCAGTAGGTCGGGTCTTGTAACATTAATAATATAAATACATACATACTTGATTTACTTTTTATTTTCAAGCGTAATGGTTGTTATATTAACCTATACCTACATTTTTATTAATATTATGGAAAATTTGTACACGTGTCCCAACATACAGCCGCCCTACGCCTCTCTACCAATGGGATCACCCATTTTTTATAACAGAAAAATGGATTACTGATGAATTCTCAAGATAATTCATTGTTTACAAGTTGACAGCCAGCAAAACATTGCATTGATCTTAAACTTTTACTTTTTAAGGAACCATTTTGTTAAGCCAGCCACACGACTCAAATATAAAATTATATTTTAAAAGGCACCGATTTTGATAATTGTCATAGATTTTTGTTCCAAATAAATGTTTCTCTTTATTTACCTTTTCGTTTTATTCACTACCACCAATAGGTTTTACTCAAATAATAGTGTTAATTTACACTAGAAGTTTGCACTAAAAGAGTAAAAGTACCTTTCTAAAATTAGAACTTTTCCAAATTAGTGTTAATTTACACTGAACAAAAGTGGGATTTTACCCAGGAAGTGTAGAAGTACACGATTTTAGGGTAATTAACACTTTTTAATAGAGTGTAAAATTACTTTATCCTCAGTGCTACAGTGTTAAATCATACTTGCTTACTTGGGGAAAATTACACTACAAATTAACTCTAATTGTAGTGTTATAAAACAACACTATTTAGTGTGGACCTGTGTGAACTCTAATTAGTGTTGCTTAGAGTTGATTTTTTTTACTGTGTAATACCAAAAGTTCAATATCCTATAAATTTCTTTTTAATTTTGGTTTTAAAACTCCTGTTTCACATGACCATCGCATCTCCCTCGAGCAAAATCCAATATTTGCGATCTTCTAAAAATTTAATTCAACTTTTAAGTAGCCGAAGAAAATGATATTGAACAAATGTTGCGTTTTTGTGCTATAAAATTTTCTTAAGTAGCCATTATTGACTTGAAAAAAAAATATGCGACGGTCATGTTAAATATTTTTTTCTTCTCTAGTTCTCCCATAATTTTTGAATAAAATACTAAATTTATTTATTTATTTCGTTTTAATATTCTGCTAACACTGAGGATTAGCGGCCGTTGCTGCTAATACATTAATTTCATTATTTCCACCTGTGACTGTTGCTCGACGAACTCTTTTTTTCGTTTGAACACTCCCGTTTGTAGTAAACTGCTTGACTGTACGGTGAAATGAAGTACGTGATCGAATTTTTTCCGGAAAACGCTGAACGTAGATATTAACAGCATCATCAAGATTCCTGCCTGCTTCTCCATAAATTAAAATCATTTCTATTTTTTCTTCCACTGTTAAAAAATCCATTATGAATAACTGCTTAACGAAAGGAGGTCTTTTTGTTTGCAAATTAATCATCGAAATAAATTGATTAAAAAATGCTAAACTGTATAAATAGTTTCTTTATACCTCAAAAATAATTATTATTTATAACTAAATATCATTTTTTTTATACCTCAATTAGGATTAAATTAATTAATTTACAAAATAATGTTTTTTTCCCCTAAATGAGGTGTTTTTATTAAAAATAGTACAATAATCCTTTAAATTAAAGGATTTAATGCTGGCAGGTAAAAAGTGGCCATGGTGCGCAATTGATAATTATAACCAAATGAAATAATGTATAAAACTTAAACCAAAGGAAACTTAAATTTAGTTAAAAAATCGGGTACTTAAAAAATCAGAATTAATTTAATAAGATAATTATTACCAAAAAAGTGATATTTTTATAGAAAAATTATTGCAGAATCGTATACAGAAGAAAAATTGAACAAAATTATTTTTTTCATTACAAATATGAAAAAATGTTTTTGACAAAATCTACCTATTTTTAGTCGAACAAAAACAACCATCCACCACATCTTCAGTCATGTGCTAAATACAGAAGGCCGCCACTGATTTTTACTTGAACATCGTGCATTTTATTGAATTCTCCCACAAAAGCTAAAAGCATGGAATAATTCTGCTATAGAGAACGCATCAAATGACAATTTGGTCGAGATAATGTCAGGTCTAAGTGTCCCAAACTATGTTTGGAAAAAATAATGGATTTAGTTTAATCTTAATTCCCCCAAATATCCACTTAAACAGATTTGGAAACACCACACGTTCAAGTAAAAGTGTACGAAACCACTTTTATATACACTCTTTGAATCTAAAAGTTTCTTAATCATGCCTCTATTATTAACACTTTAATTAATAAAAAAATTGTTTTATAAGTAACTAATATCAGTCGAAAATTAGTCAAAAATAACTAATTATAAGTCATATTTGACTAATTTTTATAGCAAAAAGCAGTCACTAATTATTAGTCAATATAGTAGGTATTTTAATATTTTTTGTAAATATTTTAGTATATTACAAAAGATCCAGGTTTTTTAAACTCGTCCACCCAATTTTAATGTATTTTTTCAAAAGCACGTTTGTAGAAAAACATAATAAATATTCAAAACATCACTACCTTGGCGTGACACAACTCCTGAATCAAATATTTGAGTGATTTTATTTTAAAATATATTTAATTTATATTAAATTTTTCAATTTCACTACAAACTATAAAACATTAAATAATGTATTTTTCATATTTTATTATAGATTCGAATAATAGCAATTTTTAAAAAATTGATAATCTTTGTACTCACTTTTACCCATCAGTTCTGTGTCCAATGTTAAAATTCAAAATTCCTGCGAAATATTGAAGTTTAAACGTCAAGTCCTCGTTTTAACTCAAGTGTTGATAAAAAATTACCTACAGAGCCCGCCCTTTGCACGACAGCCATCTTGAAAACAATGCAAGCGGCGAAGTTGTGGTGAATGCACGTATAGTTCCAGTCAAAATTTCAGTACTGTGGTGAGTATATATATTTCATTGTTATTTATTTAAGGCTATATGTGATTTGTTGATAAGTAGCATCCACTAATAAAAAATATCAGTAAAATACTTAATTCCGAATTATAATCTCAAATTTGTATCCCATTCATCAGTACCGTGTCGTCAGTTCCATGTTCGATGTTCGGTTATCTTTTTTTTGCAAACTTCAATTTAAATTCTGCTTGCGCAGAACTTGTTTATTTAACGTCATTATAAACTCATATAAATTTGGTGTGGGTCCCATATCTAATAATTGAGATATCGGTATACCCAAAATCCACCAGCCGCCACTGATTTGTGGTATTATGGACTGTTTTGGATGGGCGGGAAGGTTGTGTTTATAAAAAATTGACATTTAAAGAATATACGGGGAAATACAAAATATTATTCACAACTGTATGCAGTCTATTTTAGATCCAGTTATGTTTATAGGATCAGCTTTGAGGTATCCAAAAGTCGAACGCAGTTAAATCCGGCTCATTTGCAGGCCATGGAGTGTCCTGATTCTGCAGATTAACGTTTTTTTAACACAGCCATTGAGTTAAAACAAAACATTAATTTTTGACATCTTTCAAGTGTCATCTGCCGTAGTTCATTTTTATCATCTGTCATAAAAATGTTCGAAATTTTCATAAATTTTTAAATTTACAATTTTTTTAAATTTCTAAAACGATCAAAATTTACAAAAATTTTAAATTTCCTAAATTTTTAAAATGTTTGTACGAGGTGTGTTCAGAAAATATTGGGAATTTTCGTTTTTTGAAACAAATATTTATTTATTCGTCTACATTAATGTTGTCGCCTTCAAAATAGTCCCCATTGGATATTATGCACATGTGCCAGCTCTTCTTCCAATACTCGAAACACTTCTAAAACTCGATCTTTGGGATAGCCTTTAGTTCTTTCAGCGATGCGCTTTTAATGTCATCTATGCTTGCAAAACGACGGCCCTTTAAGGTTCTCTTTATTTTTGGGAATAGGAAAAAGTCAGACAGAGGCATGTCTGGCGAATATGGAGGCTGGGGCATCATTACAGTATTGTTTTTGGCTAAAAATGTTGTTCAAAATTTAACAATTTTAGAACAAATTTTGCTGCCACGCGTTTCATACCCAAAACATTCGAAAAAATTTCATGGGATGAGCCAATCGATATACCAACATCATCAGTGACTTATCTAATGGTTTATAACCATTTCTTTTACTTTTTCCATGTTTTTATCGGTTGTTAATGTGCTTGTGCGTTCGGGGCGTTCGTCATCTTCAACGTCTTCACGGTTATCTTGGAAACTCTTATACCACTTGTAAACTCTTGTTTTACTTATAGCAGACTCACTATAGGCCTTTGTTAACATTTCACAGAATTTATTTCATTTTTTAAGCAAAATTGGATACAAATTCTTTGATCCATTTCTTTTAACGAACGAAAAATCGCCGAGCTCATAAAACACGTCTAACCTTAGCGGCTGCCACAGACAAAGTAAATAATGAAAACCCGCGAAATTTAACAATTCCCGTTATTTTCTGAACACACCTCGTACTTTCCCTCGTGTAGGTATGAGTTATTAAAAATATTAGATAATGCTAAAAAAGTATGCTAATGCATAATCAATGTGGGTAGATCGTTGGTATTCGTTAGATTGTATTAATTCGTGTGGTCGATGATATTTGTAGGTACTAAAAAATTTAATAGAACAATATTATATTGAATTCTTGGGTAAGTACAATTTTCTTACAAAAACTGCAGAAACAAAAAAATCATAATCAAATAAAATCATTTGAAATGCACCAAAACGAATATAAATATTTGCAAAACAAAACTGTTTTGTAAAATTTTAAAATATAAATTTCTTAATCTGCTATAGGATAGAAATTATTATTATACAAATCGTGATTATGACACACTGATATTAAAAAATATGAACTAACAATTAAAGCCATATACGCTAAATAAATTAATATTTAATAGATCAATTAAAAAAAATTACTAATACTTTTTATCAACTTTAATTTCATTTTCATGTAAATCTAGTATTCTATTATGTATGTATATATACAGGGTAAGTCATTTAACTTAAAACTTGGAAATATCTTAGTTTTTACAAAAAAAATGTTTAAAATAAAAATTAAATGATTACAGGAGATAACTTTAAAATTTCCAATGGAACACTCTATTTTTTTATTGCAGATTCAGATCATTCGACTAAAAATAGGTGGATTTTGTCTAAAACATTTTTTCATTTTTGTAATAGATGGCGCTGTAATGAAAAAAATCAATTTTGTTCGATTTTTCTTCTGTATACGATTCTGCAATAATTTTTCCATAAAAGTATCACTTTTCTGGTAATAATTATATTATTAAATTAAATCTGATTTTTTAAGTACCCACGATTTTTTAACTAATATTTAAGTTTCCTTTGGTTTAAGTTTTATAAATTATTTAATTCGGTGATAATTATCAATTGCGCACCATGGTCACTTTTTACCTGCCAGCATTAAATCCTTTAATTTAAACGATTATTGTACTATTTTTATTAAAAATACCTCATTTAGGGTAAAAAAACAATATTTTGTCAATTAATTAATTTAATCCTAATTGAGGTATAAAAAAATGGAATTTAGTTATAAATAATAAATATTATTGAGGTATAAAGAAATTATTTATACATAGTTTAGCATTATTTAATCAATTTAGTTCGAAGATTAATTTGCAAACAAAAAGACCTCCTTTCGTTAAGCAGTTATTCACAATGGATTTTTTAACAGTGGAAGAAAAAATGGAAATGATTTTGATTTATGGAGAAGCAGGCAGGAATCTTGATGATGCTGTTAATATCTACGCTCAGCGTTTTCCGGAAAAAAATCGATCACGTACTTCATTTCACCGTACAGTCAAGCAGTTTACTACAAACGGGAGTGTTCAACCGAAAAAAAGAGTTCGTCGAGCAACAGTCACAGGTGGAAATAATGAAATTAATGTATTAGCAGCAACGGCCGCTAATCCTCATGCAAGCACACGAGAATTATCTAGTGATTTGGGAATATCCCAAATAAATAAATAAATTTAAAAAATAAAACCTATACTATAGTATTTTATTTAAAAATTATTGGAAAATCGTATACAGAAGAAAAATCGAACAAAATTGATTTTTTTTCATTAAAGCGCTATCTATTACAAATATGAAAATGAACTTGCTCTAATTGGTGGTTTTAAATCACATGACTGAAGATGTGGTGGATGGCTATGCGGAAGTATTTATAATTAAAGATTAAAGAAGGCCGCGTCAAAAACAATTTCAAGTTTATTTAAAGTTTTAAAATGCGAATTTTTGAGTTTTTTGCAATTTAATTAGAATATTAAAATTTCAAATTTCTAAAATAAAATTGTTAAATGTTGTAGGGAATCTGATATCTACAGCACGAGTATATTGAAGGTGAAGTTTATAATAACACACATTAAACATGTCGGTCATAATCTTCTAGGTCGTGTATTACCTGTTTGTTTTTTTTAATAAACGACTAATTTATTTTTTTATTTTTTTCCACAGAAACAATCAAAATGTCCACAAAAAAATTGCTAATAGTGACACCGGAAGAAAGAAACGCTATTTTGGGGTTGTTCAATAAAAATGAAGCTCTATTAACGGAAGATGTTGAAATTCTACAAAATTGGATGAAAACCCAGAAACACCTGCCTGAAGTTATGAGTAAGTATTTAAAACATAAACCTGACCTGTTGTTCCCAAATAAAAATAAAATTATTTTTAGGTAAAGAGCTAATAACAAGATTTCTCCTGAACAATAAATTTAGTATAGAAATATCGAAAGAAAAAATCGACATGTACTATACTATTAGAAGTCTTATTCCTGAGTTATATGAAAATTCGAATCCTAAATTGCCGGAAATGCAAAACGTATTGTTGAAAACGTAAGTAAATTTATATACATTGAAAAAAAAATCAACTCTAAGCAACACTAATTAGAGTTCACACAGGTCCACACTAAATAGTGTTGTTTTATAACACTCCAATTAGAGTTAATTTGTAGTGTAATTTTCCCCAAGTAAGCAAGTATGATTTAACACTATAGCACTGAGGATAAAGTAATTTTACATTGCATTAAAAAGTGTTAATTTACCTAAAATCGTGTACTTCTACACTTCCTGGGTAAAATCCCACTTTTGTTCAGTGTAAATTAACACTACTTTGGAAAAGTTCTAATTTTAGAAAGGTACTTTTACTCTTTTAGTGCAAACTTCTAGTGTAAATTAACACTATTATTTGAGTAAAACCTATTGGTGGTAGTGAATAAAACGAAAAGGTAAATAAAGAGAAACATTTGGATTTGGAACGAAAATCTATGATAATTATCAAAATCGGTGCCTTTTAAAATATAATTTTGTATTTGAGTCGTATGGCTGGCTTAAGCAAAATGGTTCCTTAAAACGTAAAAGTTTTAGATCAATGTAATGTTTTACTGGCTGTCAACTTGTAAGCATTAAATTATCTTGAGAATTCATCAGTAATCCATTTTTCTGTTATAAAAAATGGGTGATCCCATTGGTAGAGAGGCGTCAGGCGGCTGTATGTCGGGGATTTACTACACGTGTACAAATTTTCCATAATATTAATAAAAATTTAGGTATAGTTTAATAACAACCATTACGCTTGAAAATAAAAATTAAATCAAGTGTGTATGTATTTATATTATTAATGTTACAAGTACCCGACCTACTACCGTAAATTATTGATATATAATATAGGTCGGGTATGGACATCCTTTTAACATATTGGTATTTTTTGAGTATTAAGGCTGAAAGAAAAAGGAAGTATAATACTTGACAAAAAATAAGAATGTCATCTTATGGATTCACCGTAATTAAAATCTAACTGAACAAAAATGCCACACTTCCACAACGCGTTATCTCGGGATATGCACTGCGTAGGTAGATAATTACCAACCAAACATTTTAAAACGCATTTCGGTTATTACCAGTTTTTTCAGTGTATTTTGCCACTATTGGTGTAATTTAACTTTAATTGTGATACAATGTGCACTAGTAGTGTAAAGAAAAAAGAGCTTACTAAGGTAACATCAAAACAGACAAAGAAATTGGCATGCACTTTAGTGTACATTTTGTCACTATTTAACACATTAAGGGGTAATAAATACTCGCATTAAGTTTTTCTACCCTTTTGATTTATTTTAATAATAAATAGTGTGAATGTACCAATGAATAACGTTCATATTCTTTAAATGTGTTTAATAAAGTTAATAAGCACTAAATGCTACCTAGTGTATTTTGTAGTGTAACTTTTACACTTACAAATCAACTCTAATATTTTTACCCCTACACCAAAATTTACACGGGCAAATTTTTTTACAGTGTATAACCCTTTGTATAATTTTAGGTATATCTGCCCATTACCAAAACTTCTAGACCATTGTAGAATAAACATAGTTAAATTAAAAAGTGAACTTCTAGATGATAACGAAAAAATAGATATAGATAAATTCCACAGTGTGTGCTTTAGCTTTTTGGAGTTACGATGCATTGAGGGGGAGATGAGCATTTCCGAAATAAACATTTTTGATTTAAAAGGCCTTAAATTGTCACACATAAGCAATTTAACCCCAATGTCTTTTAAACGTATGGCAACAGTGCTTGAGGTAAAAAATCTGCTAGCTAACAAAGTAAAAATAAAAACACATTTTATATATATTTTTTTATTTTTTAGAAAGTTTGGTCGGACCGCATTAAAGCTGTACATTTTGTGAACTATCCACCTTTTCTAGACAAAATTTTAGGAATGTTAAAACTATTTTTGAAACCAAAATTGTATGATAGGGTGAGTTAATTTAATTATAGAAAATACACAGTAAACATAAAAAACATTTTTCAGATACAACTTCATAAAGACCAAGACTCAATTATGAAGTATTTTGATAAAAAAATACTTCCAAAGGATTATGGTGGAGACGAGATGTCCTTGGACGAAATACAAGGTTAATAATTTAAGCAATATGCACATGTACACTCTTTTGTAAAATTACAATTGTTTTGCAAAACAAAGGATGAGTAAAATTACAAATCAGTGTATACCAATACAAAATTATAAAACAATTTGAGTAATCTTCCAAGACATGTTGGGAAATCTAAGATAAGTAGTAATTTTACAATCTATATGTATAAATCCTACACGCATTGTAATTTTACTAAACAGTTTGACAGTTACTAATAAAACGCATCTCAGATTTACAAACGTTGTTTGTAATTTGATTTGCTATAATGTTATGTAAAATGCACAGTATGTACCGATTGCGGCAATCACGTGATGTTCTTACATCTCGCCTCGGTTGACTTAGGTGGACAGTATATAAGCTCAGGTGTCTTTCGTTTTTGGTGTGTTCCAATCCACCAAATTGCCCGACATTGATAAGACCCAAAATAGGTCTATCTGTCTAGCTGTCTGTCGGTATTTGAAGTTGGTGGAACGCACTTAAAACAAAAAATCTGGCGAGGTGAAGGTTCAATTTTTTTTAAATCTTTACAGTATTGGGTCAAGCAAGTTTCTTGAAGAAACTAAGTTTATTTTTCGTAGTAGTATAAACTTCCTAAACATGTTTAGTAAAATTACAATAGAAATTTTTGACAGTGTAAAATTGACATTTTGTCATAAAATAAGCGTTATACTCCTCACAATAAGTGTTTTGTGTTGTTTTAGAAGGTTGGCTACAAAAGTTCAAAGAATACCAACCCAAATTTGATGCATTGGATAAATTAAGAGTGAATGAAAATCTAAGGGATAGCAAACTCACAAATGATGAACTTTTGGGATTCCATGGAAATTTTAAAAAATTGAGTGTAGACTAATATTATATTATTATAAGTAAATTTAAATAAGAAATAAACAATTTTTTTCATATTATAAATGAAGTATACTTTAGCAGAAATAACCGAATTAATTTTTATTTACGGATTTGTGCTCGAGAATGGCCGGCAAGATTTCCAGATTTAATGCCACTTGATTTTTTTTCTTTGGTGTCTATAGAACACTACCTGAGTACATTCATAAACTAAAACGAAGAATAATTCAAGAGTTTAAGAGTTTGAGAATAGATTTTACTGTTGTTTAGCAAAATTTGAATATTTACTATAACTCAAAGCTAGTTTTTAATTGAAAGTTATCTATGTATTGTTATTATGTACTTAGAAAAGTTTATAAACGAGGTGCATACTATACTTTTTCTATGACAAATACTTATTATTATCTTAAAATGATTTAAATAAAAAATTTGTATAGAGCTATGAAACAATCTGTGTGTCACCGTCAAATGTCATAAAAGGTTATAAATCGAAATGTATTTCTTAAAAATTGACAGTTTTTCACAGTGAAAGTAAAGAAAATGTTTTATGAGCACTTTACAGTGGAGTCCGTGCCCGAATTTAAGTTATAGTTTACTGCCGGCGAAATTAAAAGGTCAGTACAATGTTCATATAAACTTTTCAAATATTGGCGTTGAGTAACTATTTAATACTTTTGTATTTTTGTATTGAGATAATAAAATAATTTTCACATTTAGTATTATTTTACAAGAAAGGCACTTTTTTTAACGATTGTATGACATTTGACAACTGTCAACTAACTTAAAACTAACTTCAGCCCGTGACTAAAAACCTGTTGCTAACTTCAGCCCGTGGCTAAAGCGCCATAAAGCCACAACTTGTCAATGTGTATTTAAAAGGTCATGTACGATAAAGGGCGTTTTAAAGGTGGGAGTAGAAAAATATTTTTATATTTTTGTTATTCTTTTATTCGGCCAAAGAGCATCTGAAATTTATTTTATGGTTAGAAAAATATTTTTTGTTATTCTTTCAGGATTATTTTCACTTGTTTCTCTCTTTCTTTTCATCGTTGTGTTCTTAGATAAAAAACAAAATAAAAGTTTAAGTAAATGGGTTTTAAAGATAATCTAAAAAAGTTTTCTGTAATGTTCATTTCTTTTAAAATTATTACTACCTACTATCAAACTAATATCTTTGTTTTTCTTTTATCCTTATTGTAAATATTTAGTACAAAACTTTGTATGAAAAACGTTGACATTTTATCAGACATCTGACAACCGCCAAGCGGTTTTAACCTCACTTATTACCAATCTGACTTCTGTCAGACGTGTTTAACCCCACTTTTTCTCAATTTAAAGCGCAAGTGCCTTAAATCAACGATGGTATTAACTTTGCATTTAAAAAGTTAAGGAGGTATTTTTTGGAAATTGGGAACAAAATGAAAAGAATTTTGATAAGAAATTTTGCTTTATTAATCAATTAACACATACCTACATAAATGAACACAATATCTTTTATCTCCACGCGGTCTATAATTTAAACTATATTCGATAAAGAAATACCTTGTTATGGCCTAGGTCGATAAAAAATTTTATGAGGCAAGTAATTAGTTCGATTTTTTCTCGCTAGGTGTATTGTTTTGACAAATTAATCCTTTTCTAAGAAATTCACGTACTAAACTGGTTTAATTTATTTAAAATAAGCACTAATTTGTTTGTTTTACTTTTAATGTTTAATATTTTTCATTAAATTATTGTAAAATTAAATATGAATAATAAAACAAAAAATGAGGTTAGGCAACCAAGAAAACGCACGATTCTTTTTCTACGATTTAAATTATCTTTTAGTTTTAATTTGCTTTAAGTTTTCAGTGAAATTAAATGTTAAACAAAGCTTAAACATTCCAAACTACCTATTTTTTAAATAAAAATCCAAACAAATTGAAATTAGATAGCTACCTATTTATTAAACAATTAATTGAATTCAATGTAATAGCAAAAATCCATTTCTACTTAAATCATGTAGCTAGGTATTGTCAAACTATTACTGCTTCTAAAAGCAATAATAGTTATTGTACATTTAATGTAATCTTTAGCTAATAAATAAATGAGATTCTAAAAAAGTGAGGTTAGGCCGCTTTGATGTTGAATTAAATTGACCTATATAAAGTACTTTAAAGATAAAATGTTGTATGCCATTCGGCCAAGAAGTGCCTTTTTGTGCTTCGCTCAATTGTAGGCCTCCGCTACGCGTCGGCCTTCAAACCTTGAGCTTAGCACAAAAAGCCTTACTTCTTAACCTAATGACATAAATAACTATTAAGTAGACTACTAAAACCTAGAATTTTTTAAAAAAATTTTCTTAGTGCTTAAACCTCATTAAGTACAGTAAAATGGAAGAATATATAAAGTGTTAATTGGTGTTCTTTGTTAAACGATTTTCTGATTAAGCAATATCCATTGATCTGCTGACTAGGCGAGACAGCCAGATAGCGAGAAATCAGAAGTTGTGGACTTGAAATTAGGGAATAATTTACTTAAATCAATGAGTTTAATAGTGGTAAAATTATTCGCCGTCTGCTAAAATGTAAGTGATAAGAATAAGGATTTTTAAAGATTTGTCCAAATCTCAAACCCTAAGACAAGTTTTTTTTAATCATAATAATCAATGGAAAGAAATAATTTCTTTGTTGGTGACAAAAAATGGTGCACCTTTGTACTTTTTTTGGTTAAAAATTATAATAATTATAATAAATTATTTTCGAGCGGCAGTAAAAGTACTTTTACATTTTGTATAATTTTTTTGCCATAAATTTCATCTGCTTCATATTCGTTTTAATAAACAGTATTTTCTTTTGCCAAGAATACATATTTTTGAAATCGTGTAGGAGTGGAGATGCCGACACGTTCCTCTGAAATTTAATGCCCAATCATGCAGTGTTTCTTTCTCTTTAAGGAAGAGGGCGTATATAATATATTTCATTAAAAAATTATTAGAAGAATGGTCAGCATTGAAGGAAATTAAAAAAATAATTGTAGGTAAGTAAGTTGTTATTGATATACCACCCTTTTTTAAATTTAGCTTCGCATTGACCTGTAGGTAGGTAGGTTTATTGTTTAAATATTTACTAATATGCATTAAGAATGCCTTAAAATTATTTTATTCATAAATAAAAAGGCTTTGCAGTGATAAACAAAATATCTTATGTATTTATTAACACTCTGTATGGCTCTATAATTTTAAGTTAATAAACTTAATTTATTTTATGACATTTAAAAAGATTTTAGAAGTAATTTTGTTACACACTTTGGGGTATAACATTAATTTTGATTCATATAGGGTGGAGTTCATTGGGAATAACCCTAAATTATTTTATAAAATTGGTAATTGCGTTTCTACTATGCCTAAAATATTACAAATTATTTAAAATGAAAAATATGGCGATAATAATGATTAAGTTCCCTACGTTAATTTATAATAAATTTTTCTTGTATTAAAAACAAAATAAATGTGTTTGTTCAATGTTTGTTTCTTTATTTTCTAACCCAATTTTTTTTGCTTACTGCACCACCTAGAATCTATACAACGTATACTTTGGCCCTTCAGTTTGGCTTAATTTTGAATAATCCGTAAGTATTTAAATATAAAGTTTTGTTTAAGATTAGACAACAATCCTTAAAAAATTACAGGATATTTAAAATTACTCCAGTCCCCTTAAAGTGTTTAGACGTACCTATTTTTATTTTAAATTTTATTTCTTTTGCAGTAATATTTCTAAAAATAAAGATGTTTTTATTATTAAAATAAATAATTTTTAGTTAATAGACGTATCATTATTTAAAATTTTATTGATTTTAAATACAAAATGATAGATTTTTTAAAGCATTGCTAAAAGTAGCTTAAAATTAAGATTTTATTTTTAACGATACTTCTTGCATTGTTTTAAAATAAATATTATTTTGTAATCAATGAAATAAAATTTTAAATCTTGTATCTATTAATTTAAAAAAATATTGGGTTATACAAAACATCTTGATTTAAGAAAATTATTGCCTTATTTCAATATCATATGTTTTTGTTTTAAGAAAATTTATTCTTGAATTAAGTATATTTTTTATTTAAGAATACTACTAAATTATTTTTAAAAGAACATATTCTTGCTTTAAAACAACCAATTACCTATTTGGTTAAAGAAAATACATTTTCTTGAATTAAGTAAATATTGATGCCTTATTTCAAAAATTATATATTCTTGCTTTTAAACAAGAAAATACTTTACTATTTTAATATATATTCTCTTTGTTATATATGAGACAAAGATTGTTTTGAATCAAATAAATTTATTTGATACAAGAATTTTTTTTTTCAGTGTACTTGCAACGAAAAAATCAGTCTTTTCTTTTTTCCTCCGCAATAGTAAAATGTTTAACAACTGCAGAAAAGTCCGAAATTTATCGGTAATTTAAATCCTGAAAGGGGTGTAAACTGGCTCATCCCATGGGAACTTTGGGTAAAACTTAAGGGACACTCTAAAATGCCACTCAGACTGTCGTCCCCTTTCAAATTATTTTTCCTTGCAAGCACCGCAATGCGTAGAAAAGATTGTCACATAATTTTTAACCCATTTTATCCCCAATTAACTTTAATCTCCAACTTTTTGGTTTCATTTCATAGATTATTTTTAAATAAATTTAAAAAAAATTATAAGAAAAATAACTTTAAGATAGCTTCACGGAGGTTAGGATTTCGTATGTTTTTTTTAAACATCCCTTTGTATATTTGAAATAAGTTATTGTATCTTTTGACCCCTTAATATTTTTTAAAAATACATTTGTACATACATAAAATATTTATAAAAAAATCTACTTACTGAGATATTACACTTCACGATGGATAGGTTTTAAAATGGTAAATTGATGAACCTAAACTTTTGAATTATAAAACAGCAACACTTTCATATGCATATAAATTCTAACTGACTTTCAGGAATCAAATGCGTCTATAATGTCGTAAACAGGTTTTTGCGC